CCCCAAAACCCCAAAACCCCATTCATTAAAATTTGAGGATTATGAATAAGATTTAAAAAAAAGATAAATGAAAAACTATGATAAATTATAATTTACTTTTAAATAATTTGACTATAGATGAGATTTTCTTCGTAAATTATTACAATAATGGCACTAGTTTCTTTCTCATTAGCTTAAGATGAAAATGATTGTAAATTCTTGATTTTTAATAAGTTTGTTAGGTCCCTCCCCATATTATGCAAGAGATGATTAAGGTGATTGTTGATGTAAGTGAATTTCTGAGAAAATTTTAATTTTAAGCCTCCTTTTTAATATTTATTATCATTAGGATGTTCTGGTTTATTATATGGTTGTGAAAAGTGCTAATCACTTGAAGTTGGATCTCAGACCTATTTTTAATGTTTACAATGTCAGAGCGGACTTTATTTACTTACAAATAGTACTGGGGTAGTAAGTCAGACTTATCCAGACTTCTTGACATTTTGCGTGCCAGATTGCTAACTAGCCGGATATTAATATATCAATGATGCAATGTCTGGAATATGCTAGAATTGTGGGGATCATTGTGGATCATGTAATATTGATTACGGCTGTGAAGATTGCTAACCTTAGTATTGGGGTTAAGGGTGGGCGAATGTAATCAATACAACTATAGCAAGTAGCTTTCGTCAATGCTCTGAATGTTAGAACAATAAATGGTGCCTTGAATGCATGAACACAGATCTTGGTGTTTGCAGGCAATGTTCTGAGCTATTCTGAGATTATACAAATCCTGCTAATGATGAGACTTATAGTTGTGTTGAGAAAAAGCCTGATGAAAGTTTTGATAACTGTATATAGGCATAATCTGAAGGAGCTGCATAGTGCCAAGTTTGTGATGATGGTTATTATCTTAATAGCTATAGTTTTTGCTCTAAATGCAATGTAACAAATTGCTTTACCTGCGATTCAAATAACAAAGCTTATTGCACATAATGCTAAGAGACATTCATTTTAGATAATGGAATATGCAAAAATTGCAATAGTGAAAAGATGGATAAAGCACTATTGAATTACTACCCCTAATGTGCTAATTGCGATGCATCAGGTTGTCTTGGATGTGTGAATGGGTTTAAAGATTATACCACTGGCAATTGCGTATCTAAGTGTCCCAAAGGATAATATGGCAAAAAAGACTTTTCTCAGAGAGGAAAGATTGCACACTCATACTGCGCTGAATGTCATAGTTAATGTCTTGAATGTGTGAACGAATATCCTGAAGGTTGTACTAGATGTAAGGCAGGCTTTTACTTAAGTAAGACTATGAAAATTGTTTCGTACGGAAGCTGCATCGCTAAAACGCAGCAAACTCTTTCTGTTGACTTATTCGTTAAACCTGCAGATTCGATAAGTTTCGATGCTACAAGTTAAACCGGAGAAAGAGATAACCCATATATGGATATTTAAGATGCCATTACACGCATGTATGAGAGATGTGCAGATGTTATCGACACGTGTACAGTTAAAATTAATCTGATGAAGGGAACTCATTGGGTTTTAAGATCAACTACCAAATATTATAGGCCAATTAGTATTGACTCTAACTCTTAGAACATTCAACTTACAATTACTCCGCTATATTGTACAGGAGACGCAGATTGCTATGAAGATGATACTGAGAAGGTAACTATAAAGAACAAAATAAGAGATAGACTATAAATACCAGTAGGTCAAGGGCTAACCATGAAAAACATTATCCTTGATAGTTTAGATTCTATGATAGGTAAATTTTGGAGTATAATGATATTTTAGCTCTTGATGTCTAAGCACCTTGTCTGAGCTAGCTTTAAGATTGCTGTTAAATCGACTCAACAACTTTGGAAATATCAGATGTGGATACATCAAATTAGTATTGTTCGAAGACATAAATTAGAATGTGAGATTATAATTAGCTTAAATTAAATATTATTAGAACTGAAGAATGCAATATTGCGAATGGAGGATCTTTAATAAAATTTGACATTTCTAAGGAAACAGTTCTTACAAGAGTCCTGGATAGACCACCAACTCTATTAATTGATGTAAGATTAAGATGATAGTTTTTAATGCTATTAAAGGGGTGTGAATTTAAGAATTTTATATTTGACTTCAATACTTTAATAGAAACTAATTCTTATGGAGGTCATATCATAATTTAAAACTCAAAATTTGAAAGATTCTCAACATGTGGCGCCATTTTAAGAAATTTCAGAAAATTATACAGTGTAAACGACACATTATCTTTTTCGATCTTCTATAATCATTAAATTCGTCAAAATAGTTATCAAAAGCAGATATATGATAAAATTTATGAAGAAGATTAAGCTTTTGTAGGCATTTGCTTGACTGATTGTCAAAGCTTAACAATCGTTAACACTGCCTTTACCAAATTTGGAATTGATATTGCTGCTAATATTGATGAAAACAATGTTGAGTAAATTGAAACAGTGGCACTGATAAATCCTGCTTATGGAATGCATCGATAAGGGAAAATATTGCATTTGGATAAATTCAATGGACCCACAAATATAACTGGGAATATGTTTGAATACAATGTGCTTGGATATTAAAGTGGATGCAGTTTTCTTGAAAATGATAAAAGTTTTCAATATGATTAGTATGAAGACCCTGATTTTATTTACCAAGAAGTTTATCCTTCAAATGATGCATACAATAGTAGTTTTGTTCAACTAAAGCACTTGATAAGCATCTAAAATCAACTCGGCAGTGTTCATATTAGGTTAAATACCTTCTAAGGAAATTCTGTCATTAAAGGAATAATAAACATTGATGGTACTAAGGATGCTGCGAAAATTGATTTGCAGGTTCAAGATATTTTAATCGAGAATAACGTTTTTTAATAGAATTTTGCATATCTATCTACAATTGCTATTTAAATCAGGAGATATGACAAAAGCTTTGATGATTATACTCTAAAGGATGGTTATCTCCCTTGTGGAGGTATTCTCATCAATGCCAATAACTTTTCGAATAATTTCGGGTGTCCACTTTTCGGTGGAAGTTTGATTTAGATGGTTTGCCAAACAGTAGAAACTATTGATTAATTTGATTAACCCAAGCCTTTGGAAATTTCTCCAACTAAATTTACATATGATTAAATAATAGAAGTTTAGGAACTAGTTACTCAAGATTATGGTTCAACAAATAAAAATTAATTTATGCTTAGCAACAACTACTACAATAAAAATTATGGAGGTTATAATGAGGGTATGATAGATATTAGAGGTGTTCTTTGGATTTCGCTAAAAAATGAAAGCTTTATTTAAAATGGAGAAAATGTCTAGGAATCTACTATAGCTTTATAGAAATTTAAGACGTCAGACAACTACGTTGCTTTCCTTTTTAAGAATGAAACAGAAAATACAGATTCAAGGATGAGATTAGGCAAATTCTTTTCATTATCATCAGACCCTAGTGGAGATTAAGATAGTGATTATGATGATCTATACAGAAGGAGAAGAGTCTTACAAGATTCTTAAAACTCTTGGGTCCCATCTATAGATAATAATCCTGATAAATAGCTTTTGGGCCTGATATACATTAGATAGAGTCTTTATTTATTTATCAGTCAAACTACAGTTAAAGATAATTTTATCTATGAATAAAACCTTAATAGAACTAAGGGAGCATTCATCACTATTAGGAGATTTTATGGATTTGTACATTTTTTGAATGTTGATATCTCTAACTATAAGGGTATGCTTAATAGCAAATATGCAAGAACTGATTTGAATCTCTAAGTGAATTAGGGTACAAGTTTTAGCTCAGTTTTTGCTTAAACAAATCCTATTATTGGCTTTGATTAGTAGTCCTAACTCTAAGGTATGATCATAATAGATAGTACATTTCATGATATGAAGTTCTAAATTGATAAATATACATATTAAGATTCTCCAAATGTTGGATTAATTTTTTCCTCAAAGTAAGTATTCAAAAATCATAAATTCTTATAGTGGAGATGTCATGTCAGATTATATTATGCAAAATGTAACTCTTAATAACATAGAATGTTGGACTAACTACAATCACTCATTATTCTAAATAACAACTAAAAATGCTTCAATTAAAGCTATTTAAGTTTCAAATATAAATGTAGAATTGAAGAATCAGGATCCTGAATTTTATCTTTATTAAGATGACGATGGTCCTTAAATCTTCTAATTACAGATCAGAGGAAATATTGGAAATCAAATCATTGTTAAAGATTCCACTTTTTAAAATATTTATGGTAATAGAGGTTCTGTTTTCAATCTAAGTATGTCACCAATCTTTAGCGGAGAGATCAAAACTATTTTCAACAGTTCTTTCAATAATATCGTATCTAGAGCAGGAGGAGTTTTCCATATTGCTAAAGGTTATCAGGGTATATTGGAAATTTTGAATTGCAATTTTACAAACACAGAGTCCTACGGCAAAGGTGGTGTTCTTTCAAATAACCCAAGCTGGGAGAGTCCAGCAGAAATGGAGGAAGGATTATCAGGCTTAACATTTTAATACTGCAATTTCGAATCTAATTTTGCTGTTAATGAAGAGCTTTGGGATTTCTATTTCTTCCCAATGAATTATATATATTTTAAGAGATCAGGTTATATTACTTTTATCAACCAAAATAACCATATTTAACTTGTAATTCTAAACAATACTATTACTTAATATTACAAATCTCGCATATATGACTTCAGCACAAATAATAATTAAATAGAAGCTAAGTATAACGAGGAATAAAAGAAAGATTCAGATTAAAAAAGCTATGGAACTGCTTTTGTTATTATCACAAAAGATACAATTTAGATTAATTCTGAATCTAATATTTTTGATGGATGCAGATATGGCTATTTAGGAGGAATTTATCATATTAGCACGAATACTGCTTATTTTTCAGACATGCACTCAACTTACATAAACTCATTTGCTTTCTTTGGAGGTGTAATATATTGTGAAGGCTGCTAAAGAATTACTTTTGAAAATACTACATATGACACTTAGTAAGCATAATAAGGTGCGGTCATATATTCAATAAAGAAGAATGCTATGACTTTTTACTCACCCATAAACATACAAGTAATATCATCAAGAGCAAATAATGTCTTATCACTAGACAGTGGAGGTTTTGCATATATTTACGGAAATAAAACATAAGTGTATCTCTTTATTCAAAATTCAAACTTTACAAATGTCAATTCATCTCAGAATCAAGTCGAATCCTTTAAAATTGGCTCCATAATTGAGTCATCATATGATGGAGGTGGAGTTATTTTTGTATGGGGACCTTAAGTAACAATTGAATTAGAAAATAACATATTTTTAAGTACTTCAACTATTGAAAGTGGAGGTGTCATATATGCATTAAGTACAAATGAGCTTAGTTTAAGTATTAAGCAATAGACTATTAAAGATGTTTATGCTAAAGTTAAAGGGGCTATAATATATGCTTAATCCTTGCTAAAGACCTTAAGTGCTACATTATCAGATAACGTAATGTCATGCTAAGACGAAGTAAATCAAGATTAATTAAAGACTTTCTTAGCAGATTAAAAGAGACCAGGATTTGAAAGTTTTCATGCTTTTCAATTTCTGACATACTTAGACTCTACTGTAATATCAGAAAGAAATAATATTTCTAATTGTGGTATCAGTACCTATATATCATCGGATGAAACAGAATACATAGGAAGTGGTGGAGTTTATTATTTAAATGGAGTAAAGGGATTTTTAACATTTTAGGATTCATTCAGCAATTACTCAAATAATTCTGCATATTACGGGGGTGTATACCTATGCGGTTAATGCAATCTTTATTTGAATTTTAACCTGTATGAGGATAATTTCTGCTACTATGGATGCGTTGCTAGTACAGGAGCAGACTATAAGAATATTACAATAAGTAGCTGTGAATTCAGAGATAATCAAGCCATATATACTGGAGGAGTTTTGTATTAATATGATCTTGAGTATTTAAAGGAGTCTATAACAGTAATAAACAGTAAATTCTATACAAATATGACAAAATATTGGGAGGTATGGAGATAAAGATATAAGAATAACACTGATTAGGTATTGATAGAGGAAATAGGTGGACTTATATTTACAGTGATTTAAACTTACTAATTCAGTTTTCTCAATAATTCAGTTGAATTCTATGATATTTATGTGGATGTTGATTAAAATGATAACTATGATCTTGACAAACTTACTAATGATAATATTTATCAGCTTATGTATGTTAAACAAATTGATACTGTATAAATAAAAGATAATAATATAACTGGATACTTTAAATAAAGTGTTATCTAATATTTGGAAGATAATTAAAAAGATTTCAGATCAATTCTACTCGATGAAGGAGTAGTTTATAAATTTTAAGGATTTATATCTCTTGAAGATACAAAATTGACAAATTTGCATAAAAATGTATTCAAAAATATATCCTTAAATAACTATGGTGCGGTTAGAGTCACAAATTGCAAAAATTTCTCTGATACAGATTCTATCTATGAAAATAATACCGCATTGAATGGAGCTGCAATGACTTTACAATAGGTTTTTGGGGAAATTTATAGAAATAAATTTATCGGTAATAATGCTTAATATGGCGGGTCAATGTAAATCCTCGACTATTCTCGCCTCTTTATGTCAAATTTGAATTTCTAATTTAGCTATTCTTCAAATGAGGCTGGTTGTATACTTATCAAGAAACTGAATCCTTCAATATAATAAGGTACTTGGATAGGTCTTTGGTATAGTGATTTCACTGATAGTTATGCTGAAAAAGAAGGTGGAGTTTTCAGACTAGACGATAAAAATTTGGAATTAGATTTTTAAGCTAATTATATCTATCGAAGTGGGACTAGTGAAAGCTTCCTTGTAGGTTCAGGCGGTGTTATATTTGGGGCCTAATATAAATAAATGTCCATTCAAAGTAATACAATTTCGTAGTCAAAAGCTTACGAAGGCATTATTATAACTTCTATTTCAAAATCTTCTTTTATAAAAATGGGAGAAAATCTTTTTTATTGCCAAGAATATTCAAGATCTTAAGCATAGATTTAATCAAAACTTAATTTGGGAGTAACTTATTATAAAAGCGCTTTTTCATTCCAAAACCTAAAAAATTCCTACTCAAATTTAAACTAATTCAAAAATTGCTTTGATTCATATTCTGGGGGAGTGATTAGTTTGTTTAATAGTCAACTTTTAGATGAAGGCTCAACTTTCTAAAGTATTTAACTTGTAATTGTCTAATTAAATATAGTGAATAGCGCAATTTTTGGCGGAGCAATTTAAGTTTCATTATCAAATCTGACACTTAATGGAACAACATTTGCAGAAAACTATGCCCAAGATGGAGGTGCAATTTCAATCGATAATCTTGGCTTTTTGAATGTAATTGATTTATATTTATTTAAATAGTGTTCAAATTGTTTTTTCAGGAAAAATTCCGCTGTAAAAAAAGGAGGTGTTATAAATCTTGTTACGAAATCATATTTCATCCTAAGTTACTCTTCTTTTAGAGGGAATTACGCAGTGGAAAATTCAGTTATTAATGTCTTAGAATCTAGTGAGGTAATATTTTCCTTACCTTAAATATCTCTAGACTAACCCTTTGATTATTGAATATTGTGAATTCTCGAACAATGAAGCGGATAAAAACACAATATAGTTGATGTATGGACACTATTCTTTCATTACCTAATGCACATTCTATAAAAATGTAGCTAAAGAGACTTCGAAGAACATTTTCATTGGATATACTAATCTTACCATTGAAAATTCAACATTCACAGATGATACATCGTATATTTTCTAAGATAAAACTTTATGAATAGGAGTTACAGAAGATAGGTATCAACTGCTCTAGAAAAAAATTGTAGAGGAGGCTTTATTCATGCTATTATGAGCAGTAATCTCACAGTTATAAGTTCCTCATTTTATTATGGATATACTTTATATGGTGGATCAATATATCTCTCTGGAGGTAAATTCCATAATAAAACATCTTAATTTAGATTCAATTGCAAATATCACTAGTTGTTAATTCTTCTAATGCTTTGCTTACTATTCAGGTGGAGCTATTTATGCCTCTAGTTTTAAAAAGCTTAATATATATGATTCCTATTTCTATCAGAATGTTGCATTATAACAAGGAGGAGATTTATATGCATAAGAGTCCACTTAATTTGTCACATTTAATAAGTCATAAATTGAAAATTCTAAATCTGCAGGATCAATTTACTTATTAGAGTCAGATTTCTACTCGCATTCTCTAAATATCTAAAGTAAATTATACTAGTGTTAACATAATGATAGGATCAATGGATGTTGATAAAATCCCTTTAGCTGGAGGGTCAATTACTTGTTTAGACTGTGGAAACTTCTATATTACAAATGCAACAATGAATAATTCAATCTCTCTCTCTGGAGGGGCATTATATCTTGAACTTACTGAGCAAAGAAAAGAGAAATATATATTAAAGAATGAGTATACAGTGAAGATCGTTTCATCTGTGTTTGCAAACTCACACTCTTTGTCTGTTGGTGGAGCTATTCATCTCAATAATTAGTTTAGAGTTCTGTTTTAATCGAATACCTTAAATGACAACTATGCGAGTACACAAGGAGGTGGACTTTATATGGAATGTCTTTCTCCTTTCGATTGCAAATATAACATGCAAGGAACTAATACGTTCAAGAACAATTATGCAAATAGCTCAGGAGGTGCAATATACTGGGGAGATGTCTAGCCTACCTTACTTTCAGGCGCTAACTACTAATTTGAATCAAATAAAGCATTAATTTATGCAGATAACATTGGAAGTTATCCATAAAAACTAGTGTCATTAACTAAAGAATAGTATTAGGCATAATTACTTAGAGCTAGTGTTAATTCAGCAGTTGATAGCAGCAGAAGATTGAGAGATCTATAGGTTTCAAATAGTTCAACATCTTCTTCATAAGACTCTCAAAGAAGTGGAGATACATTGCCAACTATGTATATTGGGCTTGCTGATGCTATGGGATAGTTAGTTGGAACTGAAAGTAGCAAAAAACTTGATGTCTCTTTGAAAGGCACTTTAAGTAATGGGACCAATTCAATGAAGTATTAAGCAACAATTGCTGGTACTACAACATTCTATTCATTGAATGGAGTCTATGTTTTAAAGGATATCATCTTTACTGGTGCTCCAGGAGAGAATTATCAGCTTTCGTTTGCTTCGGATGGAATTGACCCAGATAAGCCTGCAAACAAAGATCCAATAATTCAAAGTGCCTTAAATTCTACTGCTATTGATTTTGATCTTAATATAAGTTTAAGAGAATGCTAGGTTGGAGAGAAATTTACTGATGCAGGTGCTTGCGATCCATGTCCTATTGAAAAATCTTACTCATTAGTAAAAATGACAGAACCAGGTCAATGTAAGACATGCCCTACAAGTAAAGCTGTTTGCAATGGAGGATCTAATATTGGGCCTCAACCAGGCTATTGGAGGAAAAATAATGTAACGTCAACCTTCATTAAATGCTTTAATTACGGAGCTTGCTTGTAAATATTTGTAATTCATAACTATACTATAGAGGGATGGTTCCACCATAAAATGATCCATAAGGATAATGCTATACAGGCTATGCTGGCATTTTATGTGCAGATTGCAATCCAGGATATTCTGTTACAGGCGCATTCTAATGTGGAAAATGTCCAGAATATGCATAAAATATTTTCAGAATAGTAGCTATTATTCTTGTAGGAATAGTAGTTATAATACTTTTGATTCGTTCAACTCTTCAGGGTGCTGCAGACGTTAAGAATATCACAAGTGTCTTTCAAAAGATTCTCTTAAACCATATCCAGTTGATAGTACTAACAGCTTCATTTGATTTTAGCTGGCCATAAATAGTAATGGATTATTTCAAAAGCAGTGAAACAGTTGGGGAAGCTTCAAACCAAATATTTTCAGTTGATTGTTTCTTAAACAGCGATGATGGATATGAAAAGAACAAGAATAGTACTTACAGCTCTGCTGCAAAGAAGAATAGTTTCATTGTTAGAATTTTCTACTTTAAACTTGCTATGTTTGGACTATTACCTCTACTTCTAGTAGTTTTATGCTATATCGCTTGGAGTTTAATTTATAGAAAAAGCTAAGACAAGTCTATACTAATGACGAAGGCTACATCATCTGTAGTTATACTACTCTTCTTAGTTCATCCAAATATCGTTAAATATGTATTTAATGCTTTTAAGTAAGTTTTCGTTCTTAATAGAAATAAAACTTTAGTTGTATCGACATCGATGGAGAATCTAGAATTAAAAATGATCTTGAAATAGTATGCTATACAAAAGAGCATATTTTATGGGCGCTCGGTGTTGCTTTACCTAGTTTGATTGTTTGGGGTCTTGGAATTCCATTTTTTGCATTTCTTTTATTGCTGAAAGAGAGAAAGACTCTTGAATCTTTAATTACCAGACAAAAGTATGGGTTCTTGTATAGAGGATTTAAGAGGAGATTTTTCTATTGGGAGATAGTTATTACTTATAGAAAAATCTTTTTGATTTTTATCCAAATATTCCTGGTTTAATATGGAGTCATTACCTAAGTAAGTTACTTAATTTTTAACAATACTATAGGCAATGCTTGTTTTATTGATGCTAATATTCTTTATGAGTATCAATCTGACTAAGTCACCGTTTTAAACACTAGCATTGAATGAATTAGAAACTGTTTCAATAATAACCTCTCTACTCACAATTTTTTGTGGAATATTCTTCATTGTAGCAGTTGACACTGTGGATGTTGAAACTGGAGAATCTTCAAGTGACTCTTAGGTTACACTTACTGATGGTACATAGTTATTATTATTTGCTATTATTCTTGTGAGTAACATATCATTCTTTGTGTATTGGGCCTATAAAATGCTAAGTGAGGTTCAAAACATGCTCATCAAAAAGTTTGCAAAATTATACACTATATTTTGTCTGTGTGGAGATAAGAAGAAGTATGAATTAAAGCTCGAGGCTGCCCTGATTAAAGAAGATAATGAATTACTAAGAGAAAGATATCAAGATATTTTAAGATAATTATCAATTATGTGCGACAATGGAGAACTTATGCTAAATGAAAAGGTGTTGGAGAAAGTAGCATTTTATCTAAGAAAAGATAGGGTCTTGTAATCAGCTGGAATTGAAATTGATAGTGAAGCCTTTGATGATGCTGCCCATAAAATAAAGAGAACAATAAGGCAGTTAGCGGGCATTAAACAAAGATAAAAAATTGGGAAAACTGAGAAAATGGATGAAGTTGATAGTATCGAATAAGTTACTGAAGGTGATTAAGGAACTACTGATATAAAATTCTAATTCTAGTCCACCTAGAAAAATCTGCTTTAAAATGATCTATAGAGTGATGGAAGGACACAGAGTGGATAGAGTTTAAGATTGGAAAAAAATTTCAATTTCGATTTAAAACATTAAAAGAATAGAACAGCGCAACACTAAAGATATAGTAGTGAGAGTGATAAAAATTCTGAAAAAAGAATAGCCTCTGCTAATAAGCTTATTGAAGAACTTATGAACAGTAGTGAATTAGAGACTTACAAAAATCCAAACTCTCCTAGTGCTCAGATGAAAATAGACAAGTATGTTGCTGGTTAATAAGATAAGAGGATAATTGATCAAACGAATAACTCTTGTGAAGATTCTGAATAACAAGTCTTAACTCAAAGATAAATGAAAGAAATTGTTGAATATGAAGAAAAAGTGGTACCTGAAGATCAAATCAAAGAGATATTGGAAATGATTGAGAATAACAAAAAAACTATGAGTGATAGAATTGCATTCCAAGTTCTGAGACGAAATTTCGTTGGCTCTTCATAACAATAAAAGAGATCAGTAATCGAAGACGATAGCACACATTATAAGAGGCTAAGATAAGATAAAATTAGGTCAGCTGATGCAAAAACAAGTCAAGAGCATTAAATATAAATTGAGGATGATGAGGATAGAAGTCCGATCCTCAACAAAAGAAAGCAATCTGATGAAGAAGATTATGAGAATGATATTGAAGAAATTAAATATGAGATTTATGAGCCATAAAGTTCTGGCCGTAATTTAGACAATAGTAAATCTTTTGAAATGAAAAAAGATTAAAAACTTGTATTATCTGGTTTAAGCTCATTTGGTGAAAGTCAAAACAACGACACCAATAGAAATTTACTTTGAAGAATGATAACATGTAATAAGAAGAATTGATTTCTTTTATGATTTTAAAATTTCAAGATTTACATTAACGTATTAATTTCATAAATCAACCAAACTTAAATTATTGAGTTTTAAGGGGTTTTGGGGTTTTGGGGAGATCGGAAGAGCGTCG